TTCCCTCCTTGCATCACTTCTACTTTGTAAAAACTTCTCATATGCTAACTTATATATACGTATATATACTCATAAATTCTAGCGGCTTCAAATCAAGCAGGAGAAAGCTGGTAGGCTCACATGTGAGAGAATGGGTCTGTGTGGTCAGTGTGCACCATATAAAAAAAATCCTGGAGCATGCAGTGCATAATGAGAAAAAAAAGACTCCGACCGTTTTTTTTAATTAAAATGCCGACTTTGTGGTCTATTTTCGTATAGTATTTATGGTTGTATTCTCGTTTTCTTGGTCTCATTTGATAGATTGGAAAACATATTATAGAAATAGAGGTGATTTTGATTGCTTTTACTATAAAAAGAACCTAGAAATGGAGCTCAAAGTAGGGGAAATGTTTGATTTTTGCCAATGTTCAAAAGTAAACAAATGATGCCATTGTGCAATAAATATCCAACTAGCCATTCTAATATGCAGTAATGAAAGGGTTGATGTTATTTATACAATTATTACAGTATTGCAGTAGTCTGCATAATAGTAAGTCTTCTATTTTTTGCTTGAATAAAAATTCAAAATAGAAAGCAAGAGTAATATCAGAGGGGCCTGGAGATATGACTGATGAACAAAGAAAATGTTATTTTAGAGCCAGGAATGTCTGCATTGTTCATTCTGGACCTTATTTTGAAATTGTCATATTTTTTAGTTTTCGTGAAATTGGCCAAATTGCAAATTTCTGACCACATTATTAGGTAGTTGAAATCGGTAAATGGGCAGTTTCTTGTACTCAATCGATAGAAAAAATGGAGTTCTAAGAAAAAGCTATGAGTTTGGGCGACTGGAACAATGGAATTAGCCGAAAATAGGGCTCAAACTGGGCGAAATCGCCGATTTGTAAACAGCGCCGAGGTCGCTAACTTCGCGAGAGCATAAATCCGTCAGTTTTCCATCAAATTTCATTTTTTTGGTGTCATTACAATCGGGAAAAGATTCTCTATCATTTCATAAGAAAAAATATTTTTTTTTTTAAATTTTGCGACACCAGGAGACACCTCAGGATTGGGGGTTACGACAGTCAAAGGGTTAATGCCATAATTTATATGGAGCTATACTATGCCTTCTACAGTGATATTGTATATATTTGGAATGAAATATTGTAATCCCTAAATCTTCTTTTGCATCATTTTATAATGTAGTACTGTATGTTGTTATTGTGTTTCCTGTTTTCCACCTATTAGCCAGTGAGATCAAGTCTAATGCTTTTAGCCTTTCTTTGACCCTTCTAGTTTTAGCACTTCTTTTTGGATTATAATAATAACAATTTTAGTCTTTCTAAAGTCAAATTTTGTTTAATTCTTAGCCATTTTGCAGCCTGTCACTGGCCTTGTCTATTCTGGCAGATCAAAGGTCCCCCATACAGATGGAGCAATTGTGGTCAGTGACTAAGAACTTGTGGAGGAAAATCCAAGGAGTGAAACTGAAACCTTTACTAAATTGACCCTTTCGGAAAAAAATAAAAAAAAAAAATTTTCTTGTGAAGAGAGAATTTTTTCCCGATCATAATGACACCAAAAGTATGAAATTTGATGGAAAACATACAGAATTATGCTCTCGCGAAGTTATCGGTCTCGATGATGTTTACGCATCGGCAATTTCACTGACTTTGAGCCCTCTTTTCGGCCAATTCCAGTGTACTAGTCAAAAAAATCATAACTATTTCTCTAGAACTCCATTTTTTCTATCGAATGAGTACAAGAAACCACCCATTTACCAATTTCAACTATCCAATAAAGTGGTCAGAAATTAGCAATTTTGCCAATTTCACACAAATTTCAAAAGATGCCAATTTCCAAATAAGGTCCAGAATAAACAAGACAGACATTCCTGGCACTAAAATAACATTTCCTCTGTTCATCAGTCACGTCCCCAGGCCCCTCTTACATTTCTTTTGCTTTCCACTTTGAATTTTTATTCTCACAAAAAATAGAAGATTTATTGTTATGCAGACTACTGCATTAGTGTAGAAATGGTATAAATAATATCAGCGCACTTGTGAAAGAATATTAGACTCACCAGTTGACGTGTATTGGATTTGTTTACTTTTGAACTTTGGCAAAAATCGAACATTTCTGCTACTTTGAGCTCAGTTTCAAGGTACTTTTCATTGTGAAACTAATCAAAATCACCTCAATTTCTGTAATGTATCTTCCATTCTATAAAATGAAACCAGGAAAACTTGAATAAAACCATAAATACCATACGAAAATACAGTGCAAAGTCAGTTCTAAACCAAGAACACGGTCAAAGTTTTTTTTTTTCTCATTACGCACTGTGTGCTGCAGGATTTTTTTATACTGTGCACACTGACCACATAGACCCATTATTTCATATGTAGGCCTACCAGCTTTCTCTCGCTAAATTTGAAGGTGCTAGAATTTAGGCGTACTAGTACATCAATCATCCTGGTGCGTAAGCCGTACTAGTACGTCAGAAACCCTGAAAGGGTTAACCCTTTCACTGTCAAGGCCCCTGCTCTCAAACTTGCTCTCAGTGTTGAATTTAAAAAAAAAAAATATTATTTAATCTTATGAAATGACACAGAATCTTGTTCTGAAGGCAATGAAGGTACGAAATAAGATGGAAAATTTACGAAATTATGCTCTCGCTTAATTCCATTAATATCGTTGCGTAAATATTGCACTCTCGGCGATATTTATGTATCGGTGATTTCGCTGATATTGCGCTCTATTTTTAGCCAATTCTATTGTTCCAGTCCACCAAACTCATAGCTATTTCACAAGTATTTCTTTTATTCTATCGACTGAGTATAAGAAACCCCCATTTACCTATTTTAGCTACCCAATAAAATGATCAGAAATTGGTAATTTGGCCAATTTCATACAAAATTCAACACTTGCCAATATGAAAACTGGGTCCAGAATAAACAATGTAGACATTCCTGGCCCTAAATAAACATTTCCTGTTCCTTAGTCATGTCTCCAGGCCCCTCTTATAACAGACTTGCTTTTCATTTCAAATTTTTATTCACACAAAAAATAGATTTACTGTTATGTAGTCTACTGCATTATTGCAATAATTGTATAAATAATGTTAGTGCATTTTTAAATGTGTATTAGACTGGCCAGTTGGATGTGTATTGGACAAGTGATGTCATTTGTATACCCTGGAATATCGGCAAAAATCAAACATTTCTGCTACTTTGAGCCCAATTTCAAGTTGCTTTCAGTCCTGAAACTAATCAAAATCATCTCTATTTCTGTAATATATCTTCCATTCTATCAAATGAGACCAAGAAACTGAGAATACAATCATAAAAAACATACAAAGATACACTGCAAAGTTTTTTCTCATGATGCACTGCGTGCTGCAGGATTTTTTTGTGTGTTGCACACTTACCGCACAAACCCATTCTCTCACATCTAGGCCCAAATTTACTTCTCACAGCTTATCTGAGTGAGTCGAGCTCATGGCATCATACTACAGGATTTACACTGGCTTCAAAGCTGTGATACAATGGGACTGACAATGAAAGGGTTAAACAAAACTGAAAGACAAACCTAACCACAACTAAAAATCACTAATGTCAATGTCTTTCAGAGGAAAAGAATTCCCCTCAACTTATGGCAAGAAAAATTATTTTGGGGGAAAAGGACATCCTTTGCATAATACTCACACCACACATTGTTCCCAAACATGGCATCTCCACTCCCGTTCACCTCTTCCTAGCTGAACCATATAATGACCAGGTCTCTCTATCATCAGTGCTGTATGATTCTAGTGGATTTAGCACTTGTATTTTTCTCTCTCTCTCTCTATATCTACAAGGAGACCTGGTCACAGACCGGGCTGCGGGGATGCTGATGCCCAAAACCGTCTCCAGGTATACACCCAACTAAAGATCAAGATCACCTTATGGCTGGCACTCTATTGCAGTAATGTACATAGTTGCATCATGTGTACAGTTTTAATGACTTGTAAAATTGCCATATAAGCTGTTATTAACAGTTAATTAGTATACTGTAAAATAATGAAAAGATTAGGCAAATTCTGGTGCTCGTTAAAAACATTTCCAGCAAGGATTCTGAATGCAGTGCATAATAACAACAATTTTAAGAATAAATTAAATCAATGAAATAAATAAATTGTTCTTGAACTACAGACAGTACAATAACACTGAATTAATAAGAAAGGCTGATTATATTAAAAATTGTGATACCACTAACAATACATATAAAGTTTCCAAATAAACAAGACAAAGTACTCCCAATACAGTATGGTACTAAATGCAGATAAATATTTTGCTGATGAACAGACATAACACAGTAGGTCTGTAATTTTTTCCTGTCAACTCCACATGGAAACTTATTATATTTGCACTTTACACACTAATTTCAAGTTTATATATTAATAGAATACTGTATTTATGGAAATAGTAAGACTGTTTATTACCAAATATCTGACAACACATTTTACACACTATTCCATACTGTTCCCACTAAGTAATCTTTTCTTGCTGAAGAGAAAACTAATAATCAGAGCTAGAAAAAACATTAAAACAATTAAACACCGTACTCAGGATTTCTATTCCAATCCAAGAGATCTACATATATACAGTGTGTGCATTAAGATGAGTTCTTACCACCCCAAGCTAACTAATCATTTATATTCTGGGAGGTAGAAGTTAATGTACTTCACAACAAACTGTGGTGTACATAAAGCTTATTACATACAAGATCTTCATTTGTAACACTATTCCACAATCAACTCTGAAATATAGCCCTAATTTGAATGCCCACAAGACCAGCATACCATTAGGTAACATTTTCTTACCTAAATTTACTACTGTAAGGAACTTTCTTGATAAACATCCAGTGCACCTGATCCCATTAAAAGCAACTACATCTGAATACTTCTTTTAAAGTAGTACGTCACTTAAAACATCCTACTCCAGTAATACACATGCCATCAGATACATCATGACTTAACATACCATAAAGTAAGACCTTAGGTGACCTCCTCCTCCCTGGCCACATTCCATACACCTTTCTCATCAGTCACAGGTTGTACTAAGTGTTTGATGGTCTTCCAGTCGGCTTTGTGCTTGGAGATAGTGTGCATCTTTAGATTTCCCTTCAGGGCTGTACGGTAAGGACAGTACAGACAGTGGAATGGCTTCTCACCAGTGTGTATCCTCAAGTGGGCCTGTAAGTTAGTCCGGTGGCTAAATTCTCTCCCACAGAACTGACACACATAATCTCGCTGTGGTTTATCCTTTTGTTGGAGATATTCTCCAGGAAGAAGGCCTTCACCCACCATCACATTCTGTTGATGCGCAAAAGGCGAACCTCCAGTGCCCCGATGCTGCTGTGGGAGGAGGCGAAGTGGTGGCTGAGAGTCCCCTGATGAGTGAAGGAGGCCCAGAGCAGCTACAGCAGCCTGAGGGAGGACGGGAGAGTCACCTTCGGTCCACTTTCATTAACTCTTTAAACTTGTCATAAGCTTGACTGTCTGCTTCATATTGCTCATGTACTATATGAAGTAATTAAAATATCAGTTTTATAACTGAGAAAAAATCCTTTTAAATATTTATTTTCCTCCCTATCTTCCCAATACTGTACTGTACTGTGCTTTGAGATTCACACTAGCAAGCTTCGCAAAAAGTACCTTAAAACTGACAAAAGCAAAGATCAACTTGACTGAAGCACCAAGTATAAATGCTAAACTAGACACTATCTGATGATATTGTATAACTGGATTATAAAGCAAAATGCACAAATCTTAATTAACTATTGAAATATTGAATATAATATTGTACTTGCCAATATTTAGCAAGATATTCTACAGAATGTGATTATCAAAATAGTCAAATGGTGTTGCAAACCTACCTAAATCATATACATATCAAGTATACAAATAATTTCAATACAGCATAAGAAAAATATTACAGTTTATTTTAAAGGTATTTTAAGTTTTATTCTTACTGCAAAATTTTTTAGAAGAGTCCTTTACTAGGGACTGAAGTTCCTTAAACCACGGCCATGTTTAATGAATCAATTTTAAATATATATGTGTTAAAAATGGGCTTCTAAAAAATAAAAATTTGTCTTCTGCAACCAATTTATGCCAAGATACGTGCCTCATTTTGGGACAACTATTTAACGGGAACCACCAGTTTAAAAACTCGTATGGGCCCAGTTTTTCGGCTTCGGGTTATCACCGTTTTTTCGCTTACGGCCATAGAGGACACCACACACCCCCTGCCGCAGCCGCTCCTCAGTTGGCTGTGTCTCGGGGCGGTGAGGAAGTTTTGCTCTTTACCCAAGCATTTCACTAAAAACCATTTTTTTTTGGTGGTTATTTTCAAGTGAAATCGAAATAAGTCACCGGGCCCCCAAAGAAAGTTCTTAGAAAAGGGACTTTGGTAAAAAAAGGGGAAAAAACATGATGAATTCAAAGCAGGCAGACAAAGTGGAAAGGAGTGTAGCAGGCATGCAGGAAGTGAGCAGGCATGCGGGGAAGTGTAGAGGCAACAGGAAGTGTAGCGGGCTGAGGACATGTAGCAGGCATGCGGGAAAGTGTACGACAGAGGAAGTGTAGCAGGCATGCGGGGACTGTAGCAGACATGAGGAAAAGGGTGGGTTGCAGGGCATGCGAAAGGTTTTTAGACAGCAAAATTGCAGGCATTCTAGAAGCCAGCATTTCTTAAATAAGGTATGTAATATGATTTCGTTTTAAAAAAAAAAGTTTTTGTGAATATTTTTGTCAAAAAGGATTAATTGTATTACATTAATTTTTATGGGAAATTTTATTTGGGTTTTTCGGCCATTTTGGTTTTAGGCCGAGTTCTGGAACTGATTAGGGCCTAACGAGGGTCCACTGTTTTTAATTTTTTCATTTTTATACTTTCTATGAAAAAAGCTTACAACATAGCAATCAAAACTAATTCCCCCTTGCTCAAAAAAAAAATAAATTTAAAAAATTTTTAAACTGAATCCCCTTTGCTCAAAAAAATGAAAATTTTTTAAACACTTTACAAATGACAATATTTAAAAAGATCGCAAAAAATTCGCAAATATTTTTGAAAAGTTTTAATAATATATAAAAAGAACTGCAGTAAAACTTTTTTTTCTATCTCAGGGATTTCCCTTTTTAAAGCGATCATATATCATCATCATATGTGTTTTTGACTCCCTGTGACGGTTTTTTTGGGGGGTTCTCGTAGGACAACCTAACCAAAAGTTCCCGTCAACTCCCTGACAACTAAGCACTAAAAATTTTTTTGTTTTTGCCTTGTGAAGCGGAAATGGTGTACCACACCTCTTTACAATGATGAGTGGGGGGAAATGGTGATGGAAATGATGATGGTCATGAACAAAGACGAGGGATGCGAGATGGAAAGCCTTCCAAAAACATAAAAAACGCAAAATATCTGTATAAAAAGTTTTTGGGGATAAAAAGCAATTTGTGGAAAATTCTGGGCAGCACCCATCTAGACTTTTAGTTAAAAAAACTTTAATTGAATATTTTGCTGCCATTCCTCCGACTTTTTAAGTTAAATTTACTGAAAACCCTTTTCAAGATTTCCCCTGAATTTGACATTTTTTGTACTCATGGATTATGATCAAAAAAATGTATATTGTATTGAGATTGCTAGTCTCTGATTATTTAAAAATTTGCTTTTTAAAGGGCAAATTTTTATTTCCTCCCCAGTAAAATGATTCTAATATTTTTTGGGTTAAAGGCAAACTTTCACGGGCCCCTATAGCTTTTTGAAAGTATTTATTGGGTTAAATTTCCAGGAACATTTCTTACTGTACAATACTTGTCTACCATCTTTCATTTAACATTTAAAAAGAAAAAAAAATCTCCAAGGACAAATTAGAAAAAGGATTCTCAAGGCAGCTACTTTCTTAAACTTTTCACAATTTTCTTTAGTCATTGACGATATGGTTTATTAAAAGATAATTACACATACTATTTTTATTCTCCACTTAAATAACAATATTCTACGTATTATCAATGTTTTTAAATTTTGTACAAAAAAAAATTTTTACAAAGGTGCTGCTACTCCTTTAAACTTACTTTCATAAAATATAAGGAATTTAATTTCACCCCCTATTGAAATGCCCCAAAACTTTCCCCATGTTGTGTTTCTGTAAATGTTCAAAAATTTGCTTATCTTCTGTGAGAAGACCACTTAAAAAAATAGTTAACTATATATTTTTTTAACCCAAATTGTTGGCAATAAAGGAAGGATTTTTCCTTTGAATTTTTGGATTTTGTTTATACCCCTGGTATGTCCCATTTAAAAAAATCAGACCAAATTAATTTTCCACTTCAGATTTATCTGTCATACCTTGAATGTAAACCCCCCCTTTTTTTTTTTAAATAATCTTTTAAACCTTTTTCGGGGTTTCGGACGTATAGACAGCTTACTCACCGGGTTTTGCGTAAGTACGCCAAAAATTCTGGCCCCCTCAAATCTAGTGAGAGAAAGGGGGGGGCCTACATATGAAAGAAGGGGTCGGGTGTGGTCAGTGGCACATAAAAAAAAAAATCTGCAGCACACATGCGAAATGAGAAAAAAAAAACTTTGACCGGTTTTTGGATTAAAACAGGACTTTGCACTGAAATTTTTGATGGTATTTTTTGTTGTATTCTGTTTCCTGGTCTCATTTTATAGAATGAGGAATTTTTACAAAATTTGAGTGATTTTGACCTTTTTTAAAAATAAAATCCCTTGAAATTGACTCAAAGTAGCAGAAATTTTCAATTTTTAAAAAGTTCAAAAGTAAAAAATCATGTTAAGCATCAATAAAATCAACTGGTGAGTCTAAATTTTTTCCCCAAGTGAGCCGTATTATTTAACCTTTTCTACACTAAAGCAGTGTCTGATAACAGAAAATCTTCATTTTTTGTGAAAATAAAAATTCAAAGGGGAAAGCAAAAAAATTAAGAGGGGCGTGGGGGTGTAATAAACAGGGGGAAATGTTTTTTTAAAATCCCGGGAAAATGCTTTCTTTTTATCTGGCCCTTTTGGGAAAATTGGCTCTTTGAATTGTGTAAAATTTGCAAATTTAAAAATTTCCCAACCACTGTTTTGGGGATAGGGGGTTTTTTGTTTTCATTCGATAAAAAAAATGGGTTCTATCAAAAATATTTATGATGTTTGCGCTAGTACACTGGAATTTGGGCAAAAAATAGGGCTCAAAGTGGGCAAAATCGCCGATGCAAAAACATCGTCGAGACCGCTAGCTTCAGGACCAAAATTCTGTAATTTTTCCATCAAATTTCAACTTTTGGTGTCATTTGAGGGAAAAGTTCCTATTTTTTCTTAAAAAAAAATTTTTTTTTTTTTTGGAATTTGGGCGACCCGGAAAAAGTCTTAGAGGGGGGCCTGTTGCCCTAAAAGGGTTTAATTTTCTTTTAATAAAATAATGCATTCTTAAATGTATGAACGAGGCTTTTTATAGGTCATAGTAATTTGGCTATTCGAACATGAACTTTTTCCCCATTAGAAAAAAAAGAATAAAGCTGTATTGTTCCACATTAGATAAGAAAGCATATTTCCTAATTTATATTAGGTGTTGTGCCTATTCAGTTGCAAAAATTAAAAGGAAATTAAAAACACATGGTACAGTCCTTTGCAATCCTTTCGGGTTAATGAAACAAAAAAAATTTACAAGCTGGGGGTTCTTGCTCATGAAAGTTTTTTTTCTTATAAACACATGGATTTTTAAATTAAAAGGGAAAAACTAGAACTAAAGGGTAAAAAAAATACGGAATCTACTGCTTTTTGCCTAATGCATATTTGACCCGCTACCCCCCCATGTAAGTATTCACTACTTTTTTGAAAGTTCTTATCTTGGAGTGGACCAGTATTTTTAATACTATTTAGCATTTTTTTTATTTATCATGCACCCTTTTAGTATGTACCACGTTTTCTAACTCGAAGTTTGAAAAGTCACAAGCTCCTACCGTTTAAAAAAACCCCCCCCACCCACCCACCCACACCCCCCCACACCATGCACACCACCCCCAAAAGTAAATACTGTCAATTACAAAAACAAAATTTAAAATTCATGTTGTTTTTAATCTGACGCAAGGGGTCGGTATAGAATTTCACACCCTTTTTAATATCTACCCCCAATTTTTTTTCCAGGTGAAAACTTTCTTTGCACTCAAAGCATTAGTGTAGCAAATAAGTACAAGAATAGGCCCTAACCCATAAAGCAAATGACTCACCTTTTGTTGGGGGTGACTGAGAGGTTGTGTGAGGAGCAGTTGTCTGGAGATTGTGCCGGGGGACTGCGAGCTGTTGTTTCCCCCATCCCAGGAATTTAAACCCCCTGGTGGGAAAAATTTTTTGTTCTAAAATTTTATTATGATTATCAAAAAAATTTAATTTTAAGGGGAAAGGGGTTCTCACAAGTTTTACCAACTTTATTTTCAATCATTTTATTAAACTT